ATTACAGGTGTGCAAGAACGACAAAACTGAACTGATTTTGTAAGGCTTTCAAATGGTTTGTAAATGAATACCTAACACTAATTTTAAACCTTTATTATGTATACATCCACATTGAAATAGTTTTAAGACGTGTGTTCAAATGGTGATACATTATTAATTTAAATAATATCTGTCAAATCTAAATGAATGTGTAACTATGTTATGAATAGTCATGACGAGTATAGCGAAGTAAAGTATACATTATATAAAATAAATAAACTTAGCTCTCTATAAATGTCATTTTTAAACATTGTTTATATTTCTTGGCAATATCCCAAAGTGAAATGGATTTCTTGAATATTTCTTGAAATCAAAACAGTGCAATAAGTAAAGCACGCAACAGAAGTGAATTTATTTCATACGTGTAACAGAAGCAAGGTATTGAAACCGATTTTTGTTTTGTTTTTTGTTTGCATTATAAGCCCTCAGACTTACCGCTAAGCCACTGGGGTCTCATCATATGTAACTGAAGCAAGTTTATTTACCACACGTGACTGAAAAGGAAAGCTTATATTCATTTAATTAAAATACTTTAATCTTTCTTTCATTACAGTTAAAAATGTAATGTAATTATCACCCGCTAAAACAAGTGATTTGGTCATTTTGACCCTAATTGTTAAACCAGGTACCGTGGGTAACGCAGGTGGCAGAAAATCTTTGTTACAATGAGATAAATCACAAGGTCAAAGCAACGTTTCCAGGAAAGAATCACGGTTTACAAAACTACAACTTACGTGATTTATTTTAAGGATGTTTAAAGACATTTGGGTATGTTCCTTAATTAGATAGCGTTTTTTTTAATATATATTCTACATAATTTAACTGTACTTTCGCCGTGTAACTCAAAGAAGAATTTACGTACTGTGTTTCAAAAAGGGAGCTCGTACTCCGGGAAATGAGGGCGTTCTTTAAACAGTCGTTTTCCTGTTAACAATCTTCATTAAACGATTCAATTTTTTTTTTACATCTCCTTTCATAGCTCTTCATATAACTTGTCCAGTTTTTCTCGTTCTGAAAGACATTAATATTTTTTTCTTCTTCTTCTTCTTTGTAAAGCTATTCTAATTAAACGTACCCCCATTTGTGTATCTTCTTTAGTGAAACCTCCAGGTTTTGTATGATGTTTTCGGAAATATGGCCTTTTCTATAGTTGATGAATAAATCAATAAGGTACTTTGATATACGTAAGGTAAATTAATCTGTTCTTGACGTCAAGCGAACTAAAGATGATTTCACGAGGACGTCGAATTACAAAATCCGGTATATTTTTGAGGAAATTAGCATTGATCCAGCTCAATGAATAATAACTAGATTCAATTTTCGTTATCACTTATATGAGCACTAACTACAATCAGAAAAAAGTGTGTGTGTATGGTCTTCGTCTTTGAAAGATCTGTTGTTGTTGGACTGAAGATAATTTGAATATACTTAGATGTTGGTGGATGTTGTTGTTGTTTTTGGAGGGGTTTGTTTGTTTTTAATTTAGCACAAAGCTACACAATGGGCTATCTGTGCTCTGCCCACCACGGGTATCGAAACCCGTATTCTAACATTGTAAGTCCGCAGACATACCGCTTTGCCACGGGGGGGGGGTTGG